TACTTCAAGCAAGGAAAGTAGTTAAACAAAAAAGGAAACATAAAAGAGTTATCATCAGAAAAAGAATGCAATGGTAGGAATAAATCACTATCTTTTAGTAATAATTCTCAATGTAAATGGCCTCAAGTTCCCAATTAAAAGACACAGATTAGCAGACTGTACCAAAAAACAGAATCCAACAGTCTGTTGCATTCAAGAAACTCATCTAATCCAAAAAGAAATTCAGACTACAAAAAATGAGGAATGCAAAACCGTACTTCATGTACTAGGGCTCTATAAGGAAGAAGGGCTCACAGTCATTCTCAAACAAAATAAACTTTAAGCTAAAACTGATCAGAAGACTCAAAGAAAGGAACTACATATTAGCTAAGGGAAAAATTCAACAGGAAAAGATTAACAATTGTAAATATATATACATGGAATTGTGGAGCACTTGACTTCATAATACAAATTCTGCTGGACATAAAAGATCAAATAAGCACCCATAAAATCACAGTAGGTTACCTCAATATCCTAATTTCCAAAGTGTATCAACTAAACAAACAAACAAAAATCAACAAAGAAATATGAGAGCTTCAAACAAGTACACCTAACATATCTACAGAATGTTCTACCTGACCACAACAAAATACACATTCATCTCAGCAGTACATGGAACTTTCTCCAAAATATGCATAATAGCTCACAAAGCCTGATTAAATACATTTCAAAATAATTAAAATCACCCCATGCATGCCACCAGATCATTGTATACTGAAACTAGAAATCAATTACAAAAGAAACCACAGAAAATTTATAAACACTTGGAAACTAACAGAATAATGAACATTCAATGGATCACAAAAATCAAGGAGGAACTTAAACAGTTTTTTAATTAAATGACAATGCCACTACAGCACACCAGAGCCCATGGGACATAAGGAAAGCTGTCTTAAGAGTTAAGTTTATTGCAGTCAATACACTAGAAAAGCAGAGCAAGCTAAAATAAATAACGTAATGATGAAACTCAAGATACTTGAAAAACAATAGTCCAATGCAACCCTAGTTTGAGGAGGGAAATCATAAAGATAAGAATGGAAATTAATGAAATTGAGACTAAAACAATACTATAAAGCATCAACAAATCCAAGAGCTAGTTCTTCAAATGAAAACCAAAACAGACAAACCATTAGCCAAATTTACCAAAAGAGGGAAAGAAAAGCCACACATCATAGCAAGTAGAAATGAAAAAGGTAAAATCCTTATGGATTATCATCAAATTTCAGAAGATAATAACTACTACGAAAAACTGTATCCCAACAAATTGGAAAAATTTGAAGGGACAGATTACTAGACACTAATGGATTACCTGAACTGAACAAAACATAAAATAAACTGAAGAAAACATACAAGTTCTGAGCAATTTAACATAAGGCAATGAAACTGGGGCAGTAATAAAAAACCTACCAACTAAGAAAAGCTCAGGACCTGACAAAATCAACGCTGAATTCTATAAGACCTTCAAGGAGGTTATAATGTTAATATGCCTCAAACTCTTCAATGCAAGTGAAAGGCAAGGAAAGCTTCCATACTCATTCCTGGAAGCCAGCTTGGAGTAAGTCAGATAAAAAGAAAACTGTATCTTTTCAATGAACACAGATGTAAAATTCCTCAACATATTGGCAAATAGGATGTAACAAATTATCAGAAGGATCATATATCATGACCAAGGAATGCAACAATGGTTCAACATATGCAAATCAATAAATATAATCTACCACATAAACAGAAGCAAGGTCAAATATCTCATGATCAGCATTCAGTAGATACAAAAAAAGCTTTTGACAAAATCCAACACCCATTCATGATAAAAAAAAAACAAAACAAAACAAAACTAAAGAAAATAGGTGCAGAAGGATCTTACCTAAATCTGATAAAAGCTATTTATGAAAAACCAAAGGCCAACATCATATTAAAAAGAGAAAAGCAGAAAGTGTTTACCAAAAATTCAGGAACAGGACAAGGATGCCCACTACCTTCATTTCTGTTCAATATACTACTTCAAAAATTAATCAGAGCAGTCAGGCAAGAAAAAGAGATGAAAAGGGTATATACAAGAAATGAAGAAATCTAATTGTCATTATTTGGATATGACATGATTCTTTACAAACACGATTCAAAAAATTCTACCTAAAGACTTTTAATAACAAAATGAAGCAATGTAGCAGGATATAAAAATCAACATACACACAGAAAATCAATATTATTCCTGTACACCAAGAATGAACTTACCAAGAAAGAATTTAGGAAAACAATAACTCAATAGTAACAAGAAAAATTAAGTACTGTACTTAGGAATTAATCTAACCAAGAAGTTTAAGTCCTCTACCACAAAAACTATAAGACCTTTAAAAGGAGATCAAAAAGATAATCAGAAAATGGAATGATAACAATGCTCATGGATAATGTAACACTGTCAAAATGGTCATGTTTCTAAAATTGTTATCGAGGTTTAATGTAATCTGAGCCAACATTTTTTTTTTTTTTTTTTTTTTTTTTTGGTACCAGGGATTGAACTCAAGTCCTTGTGCTTGAGGAGACAGGCAGCAGAACCACAGAGCTAAATCTCCAGCCCAAGGTTTAATGCAATCTGAATCAAAATACCAAGCACGTTCCCCACAGAACTAGAGACAACAATCCTAATTCATATAAACCAAAAGAGACCCTGAAAAGGAAAAGCAATCTTAGGTAAACAGAGCAAAACAGAAGGCATCACAATATCCAACTTCAAGTTATACTACTAAGTTACAATGATAAAAAGTAGCATGGCACTGGCTCAAAAAACAGAAAAGTACATCAAGGGAACAGGATAGAGGAAGCAGTCAAAATCCCAGACACATTCAGCCAATTGATCTTTGATAAAGGGTCCAAAAATGTACGCTGGATGCTGGAGGAAAGATGGCTTCTCCAGCAAATGGTGCTGGGAAAATTGGATATAACATGCACAAGATTGAAGCTAGACTCTTTATCTCTCATCATGCACTAAAATAAAATAAAATTTGATCAAAGATTGAAATATTAAAACAGAAACACAACCTGCTAGAGGATAAAGTAGGTAAAACTCCTTAAGTCATAGGCATGGGAAGGACTTTCTGAACAGAACTCCAATTGTACAAAAAGTAACAGTAAGAAAGAAGAAATGGGATTATATAATATTAAAAAGCTTCTACACAGCAACAGAACAAGCAACAGAATGAAGAGACAATCTACAGAACAGGCAAAAACCTTGCCAGCTACATCTTGGATAGAGGACTAATACCTAGACTATATAAAGAACTCAAATTAGATCTCCCAAATTAAAAGCCCTAATAAAAGAAATTGGCAACTGAAATGAATAAGTTACTTCTCTGAAGAAGTTTCAAATGGCCAATAATACATGACAAAAAAGCTCAACATGACTGGCCATTAGGAAAATGCAAATTAAAACTGAAATTTCATTTTGCTCCAGAAGGAATGACAACCATCAAGAAGTAAAATAATAGTTAATAATAGTAAATGCTAGCAAGGGTGCACTGAAAAAGAGAAACCTTTCTCTTTTGGTGGTAGGAATGTAAATGAGTATAACCATTACAAAATCAGTATAGAGATTCCTTAAAAATTTAAAAATAAAATTCCACTCAATTTAGCTATTGCCCTTCTTGTTATCTTCCAAAATGGGTTAAAGACAGTGATACATACATGCCAATATATGTACCTAAATCATTGGAGAACTGCAGTTCCTCATCATTAGAAATGTTCTGATGAGCCTCCTCTGCTTTCTTGTTTTGTACAGTAGACAGATATATTTAGAGAAACCAAAATTGGGGGGAAAATATAAAAATTTCTAATTTTCTCAAAAAAAATGAACAAATAACATAAAGCTAGCATTAGGGTAAAGTATAAAATATAAATTGTGCTGACAAAATACATGCAGAGGATCCCGATTTTCTTACGAAATTGGCTAGTAATTTATTTATCCACCTCATCCATCCACCAAGAAAAAATCTTAATCCTTGCTTTAATACTTTGGTTCTTTTTTTTTTTTTTTTTTTTTTTTTTGATTGGGCATTGAGCTCGGGTCCTTGTGCTTGTGAGGTAGGTGGTGAAACTACTGAGCTAAATCCTCAGCCTGCTTTAACACTCTTATAATGGAGAACAAAGGGAAAAATAACTGATCAAAAACTCTGGTTAAACCTTTATAACTTAAGCTGATAAGAGCAGATAAATATAAAAACTACATTAAATTCTATTAGTAGTAAAAATGTAGGTATTTCTAGATAAATTTACTAACAAAATAAATTTGATAATGAATAAATTTCAAAAATTTGAAAAATTTGTCACTCTAAGTATCTCAGAGAAACAGATGCTACTTTTATAAAACATATTAGGAAGAAGAAAGTAGTCTGTTTACTTGAGGCATGAATTCAAGTAAAATCATATTGCTACTTACAACTTGAATACAACTTTTTATGTTAATTTCAGAATAAAGTGATTTAACAGGAATATTTAATACAATTTATATGATAAATTCACAGCAAAAATTTAAAGAATCTTAAAAATAGCGTGGTCAAAACTACCTATGTGGTGACAAAACTAGTATATGCATCTCAGATTTGGACTCACAATTTTTCTTAAAAAAAATTCATAATATACGTCTTGGTAATTATAATCTTTCTTAAGAGAAGGGAAGAAATGACAAGGTAGGGGCTCTTAGACTGTACCAGATATGCAGCTCTGAAATTGCAACAGAGTAGGTCAGATTTTAGTTTTGTTCTTGAATCTGCACATAAGCTTTCTTTTGAGTAAGTACAGCTTGAAAGAACTGTTTGAAAACTAATTATGTATGTCAATTGAGCAGGAAGACAAACTCTTCCTTTTATAATTTGGTTTTATAAGTATATCAAAGGAGAACTTCAATATAAAATCAACAAGGTGATAATATAAAAGAAATTAATCAATTTATACATTGCTGGAAAACATACCTGATTCTGGCCAGAATAGCTTGTAGAAAGCTCAACACTGGCCTAAATTCAGATTCTCGACAGGCTCGAAGAAGCATACTAAATCCATCATTAAGCAGTTTCTCATGGGAAGGATACAAACAGTAGCTGGTCTCAAACACTTCTTGAACACCATCAATGTAGATGGAGAGAAGTGTCCAGACAGTATGTCTCTGTACCATTTCTTCTTTCTTAGATACCAAGAATTCCTTTGCTTTTTCTTTGAATTCATATGAAAATTTCTCAGCCAAAACACCAATATCCAGATTTTTCTGGGCATATAGCAAAAGGAATGCCATCTGACCTTTCCAAATGAGGGCTCTCTGAGATGTTATAAAAGCAGGCTTGAGAAAATTCAGAAGGTTTAAAACATGACTTGCCACATCTTCTGCCTCTGCAATAGCTGTTAACAGTAGAAAAAGACTGAAAAAGTTCTGCAGTCCAACTTCAGTTAGTTCTTCCATTCTTTTTTGATGAAATTTAGAATATATCCTATAAAACAAAAACCAAAAAAACCCCTGCTTCAATAAAATTATGTCATTCACAAAAATCCATCCTTTAAAATAAATCTTCCTTTGACTCATTATCATTAGGTTTTAGCTAATTTATTTTGATGGTGAAATGTCATTTTTTTCTACTTAGAAAACAAATTCATAAAATAGGCTACTTCAAATGTCCCAGGAACACAGCACATCATTGTAAGTGAACCAAAGGAGGTAGTGGATTTCCTTGAAGGACAGCAGAAATGTTTTTATCATAGAATATATGAAATTTTCTTGTCATTGGGATATTGAATACCTTTCTTTTATTTTTATTATCAAATAAGAATGAATGTGTTATAGTTTAGATCTTAAACGTAAAGTCACCATGACGTGGTCAGCAGCATGGTGTTATCAGGAGGTAGGTGGTAAAGGGATGAGGCCTGGTGTGAGGTCTTAGGTGCATATGCTTAAACAGGATTGAAGAATCCATCTCCCTCCACACTGTTTTTGTCTCGCTTGGCATAGGGTGAGTAGTTTGACTCTGCCATACACTCCTGTCATGACATGCTGCCTTATCTCAAGCAATGCGCCAACAGATCTTGGACTGAAACCCATCAAACTGTGAGTCAAACTTTTCTTCTTTATTTGTTTATTATCTCAGGTATTTGTCACAGTAACAGAAAACTGACTTAACAGATTTTGTAATCCTTTAGGTACAATTTGATGTGCTTTTACAGAGACCTTAAATGAATATTAATATTTTTCTTTAAACCTCTTCTCCCTTCATCCCTTTGAAACACCTACTTTTGTTTTACTTATACCCTAAGACAATTGAAATCACTAAAGGAATCATTTTTCCTTATCTGCAAAGAAAAACTGTTCAAATGTCCAACACTTTCCATTAAAAAAAGAATCAGTACTACTTAAAACAACTTAATATTGTATTTTTCTTTCATCAGCTAAGGGCTTTCAAAAACAATTCATCTTAAATTCCTACTTACTGCTAAATTTTATAAAGTTTATAACTGGTTTATCCAGGGCAGATTCATTCAGAAAGAACTGTTGGAGAGCTGACACACTTCTGAAAACAGAGATCTGTTTATCTTTGTATTCTGTATCATGCCCACTACAGTGAATGACACAGCATTGACCTAATAAATAGACTTGCTGCTAAATGAATTCCAATGATTTATTTTCAATAAAATTATGGTTATTATATCTTGCATAAAATATCAAAAATTAAACATGCAAACAAAACAACAATGACAAGACCACTGGGAACCGGGAACTTAGTCAAGCGGTGAAGGAGTGTGCTCAGTTTCACAATAAAAATTGTTTGAAACACATAATTATTGAAGGTTTAATAAAGAAGCTACCATTCTAAAAAAGTATGCTCTAAATAAAAAGTATTCTATCACCATAACCTTATTCACTGTGGGAATAAAATAGAAATATGATTCTTAAGAAGTCCCTGCCTAAATGGGGATAAAAATAACCAAGATATATCATGTAAACGTACAAATTCCCAATGATGAACGTCATTATATTGTACACCTAAAATGAGTCAATAAACTTAATGAATAAAAAAAAAGTTCCTGCCTAGAATAAGAAGTATCCTGCTGAGAGGTCCCAACAAATAAGATAAAGAAGTGGTAGATGATGGTGTATTGCATAAAGAGGGCTGAAAAAAGGGATAACAAAAAGGAAGTAGAAGCAGGAGAAAATTAAAAACTATGTATTTTACCATACCAGAAGTGAAAAGTGAGCACACTCCCCAGATGAGAATATCTTGTCTTTCATTATTGAGATCTTGCACCTTTACATGACAGGTCTTGGTTCTCATTTTTTCCCCTTGTCCCTGTACTCCCTTCACTCCCTCCTCCCTTCCCCATTTACAAAAGAAAAAGAAAAAGATATGAGAAAATGAAAAAATGGAAATAGTGTTTGTAAATGGAGAGAAAGTTATCTGGTCTTAACTACATTCTGGTCAATTCTCACTCAAGGTACTAGTGCTTGGTACCTTGTTCTCGCTCAAGGTACTAATTGCTTGTCTTAACACAAAAAGCTATTATTTGCCAATGTATGATATGGAGATTTTTAATTTCCATCACTTTAAAAATATATTATGCAATGGAATTACAAAGTTTGGGAAACAAAAAAAAAACCTAATCCTTTTCTAATAGTCCTGTACTTAATATATATTAAAAAAAAAAAAAAACCTAGGAATTGTACTGTAGAACTGTAATCTCAGCACTCTTACAGGCTGAGGCAAGAGGATATTAAGTTTGAGTCTAGCTTCAGCAACTTAGCAACTTAATGAAACCCTATCTCAAAATAAAAATTTAAAAAGGGCTGACGATGTAACTTAAGTGCCCAGCACTGGGAAAAAAAAATTTTCAATCTTCAATAGTGATGAGATGACTTAGAAACTAAAATCCTCTACTAGTTCTGTATTTTACTATCCTGCATAAAGGAATACGTTTTAAATGTATAAAAAGACTTTCTAACTACAAGTAAACAGTGCAGTACAAACAGTATTTCCCAAACATACCAGTGAACATTCTCGACAAAAAAAAGATACTGTACAAACCTTCCTTTGACTTGTTTCCAAGGATGAGGACCGTTGTTCTTCATGGCTTTCTTAATAACCTTTGTCAATATGCAAAGAAAAATGGTATAACTACTGTAGGATTTAGACAGCTCCTGATCTTGTTTTTCACAACAGCAAGTCTTCACCATTTCCAGCATAGACAAAGGAGACCTGATATTAACAAGGCCTTTCAAAGGAAGCCAAGAAACAGTGAAGGAACTATTCTAAAGGTAAAAAAGATGGACAATCAGTATTAGTTTCCTAGTAAATAAAGTGGAAGGCTGTAAATATCACTGTTAACTTATTAGAAGATTGAATAATCTTAATGACAAAAATTATATTACTACACTACCATTATAATATAGCTCCTAAAATATAAGCAAGTAGCACATGAAGGTACATTCAAAATTTGGGTTCTACCCATGTTTTTCACAGTTTGTCCAAACTGGGACACAAACAAGGACCACACAGCATCTGGATGATATACCCCGTAAAGCTCTTTAATTTTATGAGTTTCCCAGTGTTTTCTAACACCACTCATTTTTTTAAAAAGTCAGATCATCTGCTGCATGGTATTTCCCACTCCATGCTCATCATTTAGAACTATTAGCATGATAGGAAAAGACTGCTTTTCCATAGCTCCGTGCATTTGTCCATACTGTCCCTTTAGCTTGTACATTCTTTTTCTTCTGTAATTGGAAAATCCCTCTCATCAAGGCCAAGTTAAAATATTATGACCCAGATGAAGTCTTCCACAAGACTTCAACACTGGGTTAGATATGCCTCCTCCTGGCATTGCATGGTGTACTGACACTCCCCCACAATATATGTGTATATACCTACTGGCTTATAATCTACTCAGATGCCAAGATGGTATCATATGCAGGCACCAGTCAGTACCTATTCAAGGTGTCTTAAGTAATCAGTAGTTATTAGAAAACATTTATTAACAAGGATTAAGAAGAACTTATGGCTACAATTTTGGCTACATTGTTTATACATACTCTCAAGAGAAAAAAAAGATACCAAATACCAGTTCACTCCAGTCTACCTTCAACAAAAATTAACTTGCCAAGAAAAACTCATAGGTACTAATAATTGTCATAAAAACAGCCTGTATATTGTATACAAATTCTTCAAATTTCTGGAGTAAATTCATATTCTATTTACTCACCAGGTTTTTACTATAATATTCCCATAGAATGTTGACAACTGTAATGTTTGGCTCCCAGAACTCACAAAGTGTTAAACAACAGTGGAGATACATTCGTAATTGTTCTTCTAGTATACCATCCTAAAAAATAAACTGAAATTATGAAGGAATGAATAGGCTCTGGTAACATGAATGTTACCATTATACAATGTACAACCTATAGTTAGAAAAGAATAGGTATTCTAAAATCATCATAGCCATTCTTATCTTCAGATTAGAAGGCCAAAATCAACCAAAAGTATATTTTAAAAAATTAATTTATTGAACTTTGACATATTTTGATAATAGAAACATAGAAACTACATAACCCAGTGACTTTTAATTCAATTACTTAATAAATGTAGGTATTTCATAGTTGAATGGTGTTAGGAAGTCAAAGAATAGAAAAGAAATCCAAATCAAAAGGGTAAAATGATCTAATAACGAAGAAAGATGTATACAAATTCAGCAGGTTTGGTCATACTTAGGTACTTGATCCAATCTTATATAGGACTATAAGAGCTGTAATTCTAAAAACCAGAGCCTTGGCAGAGAACATAAGTTTTAACCCTTTAAGAGTGGTAAAAGGATAAGAAATAGAAAGAAGTATATCCTTTAATCTTTTATGATGATAACTATATTTATTTATTTCAAAAATGATACACCCCAGAATTCCACTCACTCAATTACTATATTTAAAGCTTATTATATACTAGCACTGTTCTAAAGTTCTAAATGTACAGATATGGGGGAAATGTAAGAGCCAAGATGTATCAAGTAAAGGTACAAGATCCCAATGATAAATGTAACTGTATTGTTTGCTTCAAAAGTACCAATAGGGGAAAAAAAAAGAAATGATTTTTTTAAAAATTTCTTCTAGCAATACTCAGCTGTGTGTAGGAGTGGGGAAAGAGGGGAAGGAACCGGCCTTTTCAGGTTTAAAACAAGCTACAGTTAAGGAATGAAAGGTTATTTGTAATGGAATGATGGATTGTGTAATGTACACTGGTGTAAAGCTAGGGCATGGAAGATGAGAGCAAAATGAAAACGTCAGTGATGATGGGAAGAATGCAAATAAAAACACAAACTGTGGGACATAGGTGACATAGTAAAAGAAAATCTAATTAGCAGTAAGAATATTAAGAAACTGAGAGGTCAGGTAATGATACACAATAATGCTGGGGTTACTAAAAAAAGGAGAACATGGATTTAGAAAAAGTGTACTAAACCTCTTAGTTACTCATCCATGGGTAAAGGACAGCAATGAGCAGATTGCTTTGGATAAGGCCTTCACACTCTTAATCATTTATCCTTTAAAATATATTCCAAACCTTAGGATCCTCTAGGAAACTTTCTAACTCCCACATTAGACCACCTTCTTTCTAATTCTACAGTATGTACACTACACATAACTATACGATAACACTCATTCTGCTAAACTTAATGTTTATCTGCTTTCAAGTGTCTATGAACTGTGGGCTGAGACAATGTCCCCAGAGCACCGCACAGTGCCTGGTTCACCAGTGTCCCTATAAATATTTCTTAAATGAAAATGAGATCAGGTTCTGGTACCTTTTCTCACTGAGTACCTGCACACCTTAAGGACAGATGTTACCTTTGCTAACAGCCAAACTCATTTAGTCAAAGAAGGCAAGGTTCTGTCCATTACAAACATGTGAATTTACAGTGAAAAATATAAATCTATATGCAGGCTCATTAAATTCCATGACACACTACTGAATTCAATGATGACAAACTAATTTCATTGTATCTACAAGGCAAAAAAGTAATTATCAAAGTTCATTTTGAAGGGTTTTGAGATATGAAACTATTGTATTATGTAAAATACACAAAAGTAAAAACATATTAAGCCATAAAAGGAACTCAAGGCAGAAGAATCAGGAGTATGAACCACCATGGGCAACTTAATGACTCAGTAAGACTCTGCCTCAAAAAAAGCAAAAAAAAAAAATTTTTTTTAAAGGGCTGTGGATATAGTTCAGTTCAAAAGCAGTGGATCACTCCCACTACCGCAATCAATCAGTCACTCAATTAAGAAAATGAGAGCAACTGAAGACTGGGGAATGTAGACAACCTATTATTGGGTATCATATATTCTTTCATTTGTGTTAAACTGTGTATGTATCATACCATCCCAGTATTTATCTTCATTTTACAAAAATTAAGGCTGAGAATTTATACATAGCTTATCTAAGCCCATTTAGTCAGAAGCTAGGAGTTATGACTCCAAAATCTCTGATATACACAACTGTTCTATGTCAAAGACAGGTGAAAAAGAAACACATATTTAGTGGATACCACAAGTGTCCAGATCTAGATCTGAATTTGTGGGTCCATGCTCATTCTTTGCACTACCCCAAATCAAAAAGAAATTAAATATGGCATTCTAGACCTTTTCTTTTTCTTTTTGAAAGAACGGGAATAAATTCTCCTTACTTTACTCTTAATAGTTGTGAATTAAAATGAAAAGAAATGGCTTTAAAATACTATTCTCCATAGTTCTGGTAGGCTCAATAATCAGATGAGTGGTTTTCTATGGCCTATAGTCTATTATAGATACCATTTGTTATATATTGTACAGTTTCACATTTTTTATATTCAACCAGTGCTTTGTTTTGAACCATCTTCATAATTCTCTTTACAGCTGGGTATGGTTACTCACATCAGTAATCCCAGCACTCTGGAAGCTTGAGCCCATCCTGGGCAATTTAAGAGATCCTGACTCAAAAGAATAAAAGGACATGAATGTAGCTCAGAATGAAAAACCTGAGTTCATTCCCCAGGATTGAAAAACAAAACAAACAAAAATTCAAGAAAACGAAAATCCACACACACTATTTAAAGGGTGTGTTTGTGTACCATACTCCAATCAAATTAAATAACTAGCCCATCTTTCAGGTCCAGATAGCTAAAGCAAGAATACACAATAGTCAGGAATATGGGAGCCAGCAGACATATTAACTTAAATTTATAAGAAAAAAAATGAGTTAAAATACAGTGGGAAAGAATATCTGGGAACACTGGGCTACACTAATTTATCTTATATTTTCCCATCACATATCTTTCAGAGAGGGAAACAGCAACATTGTTATGGTTTGTATCTAGATGTCCCTCCAAAGCCCTATGTGCTCAGAGGTGGGGTTTTTGGGAGGAGTTGGGATCATAGAGGTATGATCCATGGATGAGTTTATCGGAGGCAGGTCACTGAGGGCAAGGCCTGGAAGAATTTATCTCCTCTCCATTCCTCCCTTGACTCCCTGTGCATCCTACTGCCATGCCATGAGCTGCTCTCCTCTGACACGCTGCCTTGCCTTGGAGCAACTTGACTACGGACTGAAACCTACAAAGTGTGAGCTGAAATAAACCTTTCTTCCTTTTAGTTGTGGGTGCTGGGTACTATGTCTCAGTGACAAGCAAATAACTAAGAAAAATATCATTACATAAAAAAAGATAACCACAAATATAACCAAAACAGATCTAGAAACCAAAATATATGATTATTCAAGTACATTAACAGCAGCATGTTAAACAGAAATACTAAAGAAAAAAGTTTTAGTAATATTCCTATAAAGTTTAATGCTTTGGAATATCACATAGTGGAGTCAAATATATATGAAGATTAAAATCTCAGCCCTCTCTTTCCTAGTTAGTTTGGCAAAATTGGACAAGTTTTCAACTCCTCTAGCCCTCGTACGCTTAAGCTGTTAAATGAAAACAATAAAATTACTATACTAAATTGTCATAAACATTAAGTGAAACAATATATTAATTGTTAAGTACAGTGCTTATATAGTGCTTAGAGCAACTATTTCATTTTGTTTTGTTTTTGGTATTGGGGATCAAACTCAAGACCTTACGATTGCAAGGCAAGTGGTGGAACCACTGAGCTAAATCCCCAGACTGGAGAGCTACTATTTTGTTATCTGAAGGACAGAATGTCTTTTAGCACAAATGCTAACTTTCTGATGATCAAATAAATCCAACAAAGCTCAGGGTATTATTCCTAAAGCTGATACATCTCAATATTTTTTTTTTTCTTCCAGCTTTGAGTTTATTGGTACATTTTAGGGATACAGTAAGTACAGTTACATTCATTGTAGGGATCTTGTAACCTCTACATGACAGGTCTTGGTTCTCATTTTTTCGCCTTGTCCCTGCCCTCCCTTCACCCCCTCCTCCCCTCCCCATCTACAAACACTTTATTTCCACCTTTTCATTATCTCACATTTTTTTCTTTTCCCTTATTACCGTTCCCCTACCCATCCTACCTTCCCTACACCTTTAGGCCCTTTCTTCCCATTTCACCATGTCAGTAATCTTATTAGGATCTTATGTATTATTACAGTTTATTCACACCAGAGAAACTATTCGGTATTTACAGATGTGTGACTTATTTATTTCACTTAGGAGTATATCTTCAATATGTATCAATTTTCCTATGAATGAATCTATTTTCTCGTTCTTTATGGCTGAGTAACATTGCATTTTATAGAAACTGATGGGCAAATGGGCTGTTTCCAAGTTTTAGCTATTAGAAACTGTGCCGCTTTAAACATAGGTGCGCATATGTCATTGTGATATGATTCTTTTAAATATTTTGGAAAGATACCCAGCAGAGGGATGGCTAGGTCAAATGGAACCTCCAGTCCAAGCTCTTTGAGGTATCTCCATATTGATTTCCACTGTGGCTGAAACAGTCTGCACTCCCACCAACAATGGAGAAGGGCTCCTTTCTCCCCACATCCCCACCAACATTTATTATTGTGTGATTTCTTGATAGCAGCCATTTCAATATGGTTGAGTTTTAACCTCAAACCCTACTTAAAGACAAAATAAGGACATGTATATAAAAACATGCCTCCAGATTAAAAAATGTTTAGTAAGTCAGAAGACCCACGTGTGGGTCCCTTTTTACATGGCTGGATCCCAAAGGCCATGCTACTCAACTCTTGTATTTTTCACGGCAGGTATGGGTATTTGGGGCAGAGGGAGAAGAAGAGAGAGAAGAAGAGAGACAGAGAAATAGAGGGAGAAAATATGAATGGATGAGCTACTAAATACATGTTCCATCCAATAAACAA